TATGTCATTTTACATGCCCACCAGCAACATGGGTCCTGATTTCTCCATGTCCTCAGCAGCACTTACCATTTTGTCTCTTTTTTTTAGAGATGGAGTCTCACTTTATCTCCCTCGGTAGAGTGCTGTGGCATCACAGCTCATGGCAACCTCCAGCTCCTGGGCTAAGGTGATTCTCTTGCCTCAGCCTCCCAAGTAGGTGGGACTACAGGCACCTGCCACAACGCCCAGCTATTTTTTGTTTGTTTGTTTTGTTTTGTTTTGTTTTGTTAGTTTTTGGCCGGGGCTGGGTTTGAGCCCACCACCTCCGGCATATGGGGCTGGCGCCCTACTCCTTTGAACTACAGGCATTGCACCCCAGCTATTTTTTGTTACAGTTTGGCCAGAGCCGGGTTCAAACCCACTGCCCTTTGTATATGGGGCCGGTGCCCCACTCACTGAGCTACAGGTGCTGCCCAAGATAGAGATTCTTAATTTGGATCCTGTGGCCAGACTTGAGGAAATACATCATACCCTTGAAATTATATGCTAAATGTTGTACAATTGTTCATTTTCCTTGGGAGAAAGTATATAAGGGCTTTTTTTTTTTTTTAAAGAGTCTCATTCTGTTGCCCCGGATAGAGTATAAATTATCACAGCTCACAGAAATCTCTAACCTCTGGGTTTAAGCAGTTCTCTTGTCTGAGCCTCCCAAGTAGCTGGGACTTAAGGTGTATGCCATGATGCCAGGTTAGTTTTTTTATTTTTAGTAGAGATGGGGTCTTGCTTTTCCTTACACTAGTCTTGAACTCCTGAGCTTAAGCAGTCCACCCACCTTGGCTTCCCAGAGTGTTAGTATTACACGTGTGAGCCCAGCTTTTTTTTTTTCCTTTGAGACAGTCTCCCTTTGTCACCCTCAGTAGATTGCTGAGGTGTCATAGCTCACAGCAATCTCAAACTCTTGGGTTCAAGTGATTCTCTTGCCTCAGCCTCCTGACCTGGGACTACAGGTACCCACCACAATGCCCGGCTATTTTTTTTAGAATCAGTGCTTTGCTCAGGCTGGTCTTGAACTCCTGAGCTCAGACAGTCCATTTGCCTCAGCCTCCCAGAGTGTCAGGATAACACTGCTAGGCATGAGCCACTGAGCCTAGCCTGTCACAAAATTTTCTTTTCTTTCTTTTCTTTTTTTTTGAGACAGAATTTCACTGTGTCACCCTCGGTAGAGTGCTGTGGTGTCACAGCTCACAGCCACCTCTAACTCATGGGTTTAAGCAATTCTCTTGCCTCAGCTTCCCAAGTAGCTGGGACTACAGTCACCCGCCATAATGCCCAGCTATTTTTTTTATTGCCGTTGTCATTGTTTAGCAGGCCTGGGCCAGTTTCAAACCCACCAGCCCGTGCATGTGGCCAGCCCCCCAACCACTGAGCTACAGTGCCAAGCCAAACCTTAGTTTTCTGTCTGTGTGGGTTTAGCATCTAAACCCTATTCCTCTGACCCTTTACATATTGAATTCAATCTGGTCCCATTAGTCTGCTACCACAGCAATATTCTGTGAGCCTATATTAATAAGTGACTTTCCCTAAATAGAAGGGACAAGAAGGAGATGGCTTATGTTAATGGGCCATGGAAAATCCTAGAAAAGTATTCTGTGAATGAATAGTGTAAAGGAGAGGGATAAGTCAAGATTCAGTAGAAGAAAATTATTGCGGAGGGTGTGCCTGTGGCTCAAAGGAGTAGGGTGCTGACCCCATATACTGGAGGTGGTGGGTTCTAACCTGGCCCTGGCCAAAAACTGCAAAAAAAAATTTCTTTTTTGGGGGCAGTGCCTGTGGCTCAGTGAGTAGGGCACCGGCCCCATATACCGAGGGTAGCGGGTTCAAACCTGGCCCCTGCCAAATTGCAACAAAAAATAGCTAGGCGTTGTCGGGCGCCTGTAGTCCCAGCTACTTGGGAGGCGGAGGCAAGAGAATCGCTTGAGCCCAGGAGTTGGAGGTTGCTATGAGCTGTGTGACGCCATGGAACTCTACCGAGGGCAATGAACTAAGACTCTGTCTACAAAAAAAAAAAAATTTCTTTTTTTTGTTTGAGGTAGAGCCTCACTTTGACACCCTCGGCTATTTTTTTAGAGATGAGGTATCACTCTGGCTCAGGCTGGTCTTGAACCCATGAGCTCAGGCAGTCTACTCGCCTTGGCCTCCCTTGTGCAAACTACAAAATTTTTGCTTGGCACCTGTGACTCAGTGAGTAGGGCACCAGCCACATATACTGAGGCTGGTAGGTTGGAGCCTGGCCTGGGCCTGCTAAACACCAATGACAACTGCAACAAAAAAACAGCCAGATGTTGTGGTGGGCACCTGTAGTCCCACCTACTTGGGAGGGTGAGGCAAGAGAATCGCTTAAGCCCAAGAGTTTAAGGTTGCTGTGAGCTGTGACGCCATGGCACTCTACCGAGGGCAGCATAGTAAGACTCTGTCTCAGAAAGAAAAAGGAAAAAACTACAAAATTTCATATTCATAGCACACTGAAGTGATGACTGAGAATGTTATCCAAGACATCCATGTTGAAGACGATCAGACTTTAGCAGAGATTTCTCAGCAGCAGCTCTTGTGTGAAATGAGATGCTTGGGTCTAAAATCCAAGAGGTTCTTTTGGATTCAAGCCAAGGATGTGGGTAGCACAGTTCAACTCTGGGGAGATGAAGCTGGCAAGCACTAGGTTAGAGCACCACATCATACCCAAATGATTTATGACTAAGCTCTAGCCGTAACTGGGAACTAGAAGAAAACCCAGAAACAAGTGCTCAAAAGTGGATCATGGCTCGGTGCCTATAGCTCAACCGGCTAAGGCGCCAGCCACGTACACCTAAGGTGGCGGGTTCGAATCCCCAGCCCAGACCCGCCAAACAACAATGATGGCTGCAACCAAAAAATAGCCGGGCGTTGTGGCGGGTGCCTGTGGTCCCAGCTACTTGGGAGGCCGAGGCGAGAGACTCGCTTGAGCCCAGGAGTTGGAGGTTGCTGTGAGCTGTAATGCCACGGCACTCTACCCAGGGGGACAGCTTGAGGCTCTGTCTCAAAAAAAAAAAAAAAAGTGAATCATAAGTGATGGGCATTAGTAGAGAGTCTGAAACTTGCTGCTTTTATAGGTCTCAAGGGTGTTGGTTCCTCTAGGGAGAATGTGTCCACTGATGCCCATTGCCTCAGGGCCCCATGGCAGTTGAGCCTGGGGGGCCTATTTATTTAGGTTTATTTGTTGGCAGTTTGGGAGAGACTAGAGCTGATAAGAACTTACAGCTAGCTAGGAAAGACTTGTTAAGCCACTTTTGTTAGTATCTACCAGGGTAAAAGGCAGAGGAGAGACAAGGACAAGAGAAGGTAAGTCATTGTTCAGGGCCTTGGAGCCAATGTTGGGTGCCTGTCTTAGCCCTTACTCATCCACAATCTCTTCTGTTTGGCAGCCCTCTCTGGGAGATGGTTCAAGATGGCATTGACCTCAAGAGCATCAAGTGGACCCAACACTAGAGGAGCGCTCGAGCCCCTGACTTTCTGCTAGATCTGGTCCTTCCTGCCTTACCAACCCATACACAGACAGCTACCTTGTTATGCCCAGTGGATGATCCGGATTGGCATAGCCCAATTTACTTCAGTCTCAGCTTGCCTGTATGCCAGAAACACAAGGAAACCGTCTTTCCCCAGATTCAGCTACTTTGGTGGGGGAATATACCCCATTTCTCTCCAGGAGTTCTCTATCAGTATAATATTTGGATATTTTCATCATAAAGCAGTAGAGACATTTACTGTGACATTGCTGCATCCTTGGTGGAAAGAGCAAGAGGAACTAGAAGAAGGGACTCTTTGTTCAGAGACCTCAACCTTCTGTATGGATATTTAAGTCATTGCTTTCTGCTGCTCAGCTGGACTGGCTTCTTCAGCAATGAGCATAATCAACTTCAAGTTAATTTTTTTTGTGTGTGGCTTCAAAGAATATCTTTTCATATTGACTGTAGAACAAATAGCGAGTTTCGCAGATGGCTTGTCTCCTTTCTGTTCTCATGCTCCTTCCTTTCTTCTTTTGATCTAAGGGGGCTAGAAATCATCCATATGACTCCACCCGTTATTCTAATAATTTGTTTCTTTCCTTAAAATTTGTTAATTTAAAGATTGGAGAAATAAACTCACTTTCTATTTACTCTGTGTCTTCGTAAGAGGCTGAGAGAGAAGTGGAAGCTTTAGTTGGGTACTGTGGAGAATACTACCATTCTACCTAATTTTCTTAGATGGCTCAGGTGGCTTTCCTATCTCTTCACTCAGCAATTATTCGAATGCCTTCCAGGAGCCAGGCTTGTTCTGAGTATTGATGATACACTGATTAACAGACCAAAAAGGACCCTGAATTGAGTTTTCATTCTAGTGGAGAGGTGGAAAACAAGAAGTAAATAAAGAATGTTATAAATTATGATAAGTGCTATGAAAGAAACTCGTAAGAGGAAATAATAGGGGAGAACCTACTATGCTGGGTGTTCTAGGAAAGCTTTAGCGAGAATATGGTACTTAAGCAAAAATATGAAGAGCCAGAAATGGCCCATCCAGGGATGAGTACAAGATGAGAAAGAATAGCAAGAACAAAGGGCCTGAGGTGTGAAAAGCATGAAGTGCTTGAGAAACCAAGAGAAGGTCATTGCAACTAGAGTTTTCCAGTGGGTCTAAACCCAGAAAATAAAATATTAGACTGCATTGCACATAATTTAAGAATGGCTGCTTGGCAGCCATAGCTCAGTGAGTAGGACGCCGGCCACATACACGGAAGGTGGCACATTCAAGCCCAGCCCAGGCCTGCTAAACAATGACAACTGCAACCAGAAAAATATAGCCAGGCATTGGGGCGGGTGCCTGTAGTCCCAACTACTTGGGAGGCTAAGGCAAGAGAATCGCTTGAGCCAAGAGTTTGAGGTTGTCGTGAGCTGTGACACCACAATACTCTACCCAGGTCAACGTAGTGAGACTATCTCAAAAAAAAAAATAAAATGGCATTTTGATTATACGTTTGACTTTGTATACCTGGTTGCAAATGTATTTTTTTTGAAGGGGGGACAGAGTCTCACTTTGTTGCCCTTGGTAGAGTGCTATGATGTTATAGCTCACAGCAACCTCAAACTCTCAGACTCAAGTGATCCTCTTGCCTCAGCCTCCTGAGTAGCTGGGACCTGCCACAGTGCCTGTGTAGTTTTTATTTATTTATTATTTTTTTGAGACAGAGTCTCAAGCTGTCACCCTGGGTAAAGTACTATGGCATCATAGCTCACAGCAACCTCCAACTCAGGCTCAAGCAATCCTCTTGCCTAGTTTTTCTATTTTCAGTAGAGTTGGTGGGGAGTGGGGAGGTGTCTTGCTTTTTGCTGAGGCTGGTCTTGAACTTATGAGCTTAAGCAATCCACCTGCCTTGGCTTCCCAGAGTGCTAGGATTATAGGCGTGAGCCACCTTGAGGTTGCAAATGTACTTATTGTGGGCGATGGTCAAAATGTTTGAAAGCCACTGGCCTAAAGTATAATGAATATGGATAGACAGCAGAAAGAGGAGATGAAGTTACAGAGGTTTTCTATCTTTCTCTCTCTCTATCTCTTTCTTTTTGAGGTGGGTTTCACTGTCTTGCCCTGGCTAGAGTGTGATAGTGTCAGCCTAAATCAAACTTCTGGGCTCAAGCTATCCTCCTGCCTCAGCTTCCTGAGTAGCTGGGACTACAGTGTTGAGACAGAGTCTCACTATGTCACAGCAACTTCTAACTCTTGGGCTTAAGCTATTCTCTTGCTTCAGCCTCCCAGGTAGCTGGGACTATAGGCACCCGCCACAATGCCCAGCTATTTTTTGGTTGCAGTTGTCATCGTTGTTGAGCAGGCCTGGGCCAAGTTCAAACCCGCCTGCATCACTGTATGTGGCTGGTGCCCTAACCATGGAGCTACAGGCACTAAGCCTGGCTCTTTTTTATTTTTTTTATTTTTAGTAGAGTTGGAGTCTTGCTTTTGCTCAGGCTAGTCTTGAACTCCTGAGCTCAAGGGATCCTTCTGCCTCAGCTTCCCAAAGAGCTAGGATTACAGATGTGAGTCACAGTGCCTGGCTCTCTATTTTTCTATATAATCTAAAATTCTAGATTTACTGAAAAGTTGCAAAGATTAGTACACACTTATAAATCCATCACCTAATTTCTTCTAATTTTAAAATCTAACATAAAACTATGGTACATAATTAAAATTTAGAGATTAATTTTGATACATTAGTATTAACTAAACTTCAGGTTTTATTTACCTTTCACTAGTTTTTCTTTTTTCTTTTTGCAGTTTTTGGCCAGGGGCTGGGTTTGAACCAGCATATGGGGCCAGTGCCCCACTCCTTTGAGCCACAGGTGCTGCCCCCTTTCACTAGTTTTTCTAGTTGTATCCTCTTTCTATTTCAGGATCCAATACTGGATATTACAGTGCATTTGGATTTTGTTTTTAATGAACAATGTTATACCTACAAAGTGCATATGTAAACTACAAGTTCGGTTTAAAAGTGTGGCCTGCTTTTTCGATTTGCTGTTTTGGGCATATTGGCCAACCACCAGTCAAGTCCACCACTCAAACCTCCCAAAATCTTGTTGGATTTCTGAGAATTTAAAATTTCAGAGTCTCACTTTATCACCCTGGGTAGAGTGCTGTGGCGTCACAGCACACAGCAACCTCCAACTCCTGGGTTTAAGCGATTCTCTTGTCTCATTCTCCTGAGTAGCTGGGACTACAGGCACCCACCACAATGCCTGGCTATTTTTTTGTTGCAGTTTGGCCGGAGCTGAGTTTGAACCCTCCACCCTCGGTATATGGGACTGGCGCCCTACCCACTGAGCCCCAGGAACTGTGCCAGGCCTCACTTTCTGACTTGGAAGACTAGGTCAGTTACTGAGACATTCATCAAGATGATACCATATAGGCAGGGGGAGTTGAGTCTGGGGGCTTGGGCCAAAGCAGCTTGAGAAGAGTTTTTTTCTTTCTTTCTTTTTTTTTTTTTTTTTGAGACAGGAGCCTCAAGTTGTCCCCCTGGGTAGAGTGCGGTGGCATC